TTTGCTGCATCAATCAGCTGTGCTTCAGCAGAGCACAGAGACTCCCTTAAGCACAGACATAACTGCTTTAAGGAATCAGATCTCTGATCAGAAAAAAGTAAATGTGTGGTAACAATAACACCAGACACATGCTGCATGAATTTCAAGTCTGTGCAGTTTTCCATACCCCTAAAAGTCTCTGAACAGGGGACTAGCAGGGGACTATGCAGGGGACTAGCAGCAGGATAATCTCCACTTCTTAGCAAGGTGGTAGAAACTTGCTCAGTGGGAGTGATATTTTTTCCAACATCCCTATCACGATTTCTTCCAAGCATTAACTTGCACTTGGAAATTGATAATTGATGTCTTAATATCCTATCTGCTTGACAATGACATCATCCATGGATAAATCACTCTCACTGTATTAGATCAGCCACAGTTTACAGATAAATTCCTTCTAATTAACAAAAAACTGGCTAATAAATCCAGAATCATTTTTTGTTAAATGTATTGCACTTTCCATACTCTCCCTTTAGCCTCTTTGCATCTTCTCCTTTAAGTTCTATCTTCCTTTTCTCAGACCTTGCAGACTGCTTCTTCCTCTCTTGATTTTCCTGCATTCAAACAGAATAACAAATAAAAAAGTAAATAAGAGTAACTGAAGGAGAAGCTTGTTAAGAAACTCTCCGTTTGCAATGAATAGCTACTCTGAACATGCCCTATGCACACTTAAAAATCTCAGCTGCTGAGATTTGAGGGTAAATAGCAGAACAGAGCTTCCTGGTCAATCCCTTTGGCCTTCTCCCTGTGATGATGTTACCAGCAAGCTATTTCATCAGCTTTAACTGCAACTTTTCACTATGGACTGAAATGCATTCTTCTTAATTAGTCCCTTTGTCCACAAAACAGAACATTAGTTTAACTTAATTAGCATTCTAGAGATTTATCCCGTAGCAACCTTGTTTGTATTCAGGGATTTCTACCAGAATTTTCAGGAACTGTTCAACTGTGTTAAACAGCAATTCACAGTTTCTCTTCAGGCTCCCGTTAAATTTGCCAGCAGTATTTCTGCATTAGTGTTCAGGGGCAGAGGCCAGGCTGGATGTTTGTTGGTACCACTCGGATAACTGCCAGGATGGCATAAATCCTGTTGGGATTTATGCAGACAGGCAGGACTGTGGATTCCACAGGGCTGCTGGTACCAGAATGATATGATTAATGAAGGATGAAGAAGAAATTGAATGATTAACTCTGGTAAAAGAAGAGCTTTACTCAGTGGAAGAGTATTTCTGGGTTTTGATAAGTAGCACAATGGTAGGAAAAAGTAGTTCTGAACAACTGACATACCTGTAGCAGAACATTAGGATGTTAAAAGCCATTTTCTTAAATGCAGTCCTTGTTCCAGAGCTTCAGTCATCACCAGAACATTGCCATCCCACCTGGAAACTTCCCTGCTTTTGATTGCAACCAGTGAGTAGCTGGTCTATGCAATGCAGGTAGATCAGCAGTTATAAGGCCTGCTGTCACAGAGATTTGTGTCATATGAGAAGACTTAACATCCAGAAAGTTATTGATGATTTGGTGCAGACAGGATTCTTGATGAGATATGTCTGGTCTCCTTTGCAGAGAGTTTGAAGCAGAAAATACATTTTCCCCTTATAGTGATAAATCTGGTTGATTTCTATGGATCATCTGCCACTATTTCCATAAAATGGGACAAAGAAGTCCCAGGAAACATGCACAGGTTTCTTACAGCCTTTATAGAAAGTAGAAGCCTAGGATCCTTTGGTCCAAAGAACTTTCCAGACAAATAAAGAAAACCTGTGAACATCAACAGAGTTATTCTGTCTGAAATATAGGAGAATTATAGGCTCAAGGCTATGGACACCTTCACTGGATGCCTAGAAAGGGAAGAAAAACAGTGTGCTCTTGAAAAAGAAAGAAAAGGATCTATTGGCCCTGAATAGATGGTGCTTCTGAAGGAAGGAGTTACAGGTGGGGAAGTTCTTTGGAGGGCTAGAAGCCTTCTATCAGCATATACCTCCTATGTGCTTGACAGATTAATTCCTGCTGTGCCTTAGCATGAAATCTTTGAAATATTATGGCTATTGAGAGACTTGCAGATTTGTGGGTCCTGGGAGGAGGTTTCTATGTTATATGACACAAGAAGTAAAGGAGGTGGATTCATGGATACATTGTCCCGCTACTTGAGCAGCACACACAGCAGTTAGAACAAACTGAAACACATTAAGAATAAACTTATAGATTAAGCAAACCTGAACTGAATTGTTCAGAACAATTGTAGAACAAAACCCAAAATCCCCACATAACAATTCAATGCAAATTAAAAGAGTTTCTAGAACACAAGAAAGCCCAAGAAAGTAAAGGAATGAATATTCACAATCCCTTCTCCACCCTCCTGGATTACTGAAGGCAGCTGCAGGGATGCGATTCAGTAAAAAACTATGTTGCTTTGGATTTGTACTTTGTAGCACAATAGATACTTGCTTGATCTTTGAATTAAAAGATGCTCCATGACAACTATTTGTCTCTACACTATCTAAAGCACATCCTGTTCCAACAGCATAGGAACCCTACTGGGCAGCTGCTCCAGCTCAGTTGTCCTAGGGGAGCGCTGTGAGGAACTATCCCTGTGCAGAGCTGTCTGTGTAACCTCTGGCACCAACTGAGTACTTCCTAGAGTAGATTTTGGTTAACATTTTTTTTCTCTTTTTCCTGAGATTAGACCATCTCTATGTTGGGAGCTCCCTTCTTTAAACAGCTGTAAATGCTAAGGGAAATCAAATGTTTCCCCTGGTCCCCTATAATCACACAGTGATTCTTTCTCCCACAATTTTAACACTCAGTTCTCAGCATAACTCCAATTCTATTTTTTTGTCTTTGAACTGAGAAGCTATTTTCTCCCTGTCTCCTTCCTCTTGCCATCTGCTCCTTTTATTTTTTGAGAACTGGTGAAACAGCCCTGGGTGATGAACCAGTTCCCTTTCGCTATGTCAGTTTTGGAGATCATTTAGGTGTTTGAAAAGGTGGTGGTGTTTTTTGTTTGTTGTTGGGTTTTTGTTTGTTTGTTTGTTTGTTTTTTTTTACTCTTCAAATAGATGGAGAGAAATATGGCAGAATCTTATTATAGCAATTCCATTTGTGTAGCTCAGTTTTTGTTACCTGGAGGATAAGAAGTCAGAAAGAACCCTCAGGGAAGAGAAAAAGATTTTGTTTATACAAAGTAACAAAACCAAAATCTCTGTAGGTAAGCTTAGAAGACATGAAGAATCACTATTTATCAAAACTATTTCCCTTCCTATTTGATGTGGGAATGGGAAGATAACACTAATGATTTTGGTAGTGCTAAGAGACCTTCTTTAACTTTACACAGAAGACTGATCTCAAAATAAAAGTTACACCTTAGCATTAAAGCTTAAAAAAAATGGCACTGGGAAGAGAAGATGCCTGTGGTTGATTCTAATAAAAATCAAAATCACAGAACAAGAAGATGCTTTAAAAATTCAGACCTTCAGCTTTTCAGCATGTTGCTCAAACCACAGTGATAGGGAGAAAGCAAGGCAAGATGGAAGAGGAGATTATTTACAGGTCTGCAGTGAAGGTAAGAGATGCACACAAGGTGGCTAACAGCTGTGGTACCTTCAAGGTGAGATGCTGTTGAGAAATTGATGCTCCAACTTGGCTGTGAACAAGCGGCACCCAGAAATGTAGTTTAAATCTCCTGAAGCTATACTAGGACACTATATAACCTTTATTGGGACTGTTTCTTAAAAGAACCACAGTACCTGGAATTACCCTTTACAGTAAATTTCCAGTGTAGCTCTGCACAGATGCTGAGCCATTATGTCCTTGACTCTCTCAATTCTTTCCTTCATGTTTAGAAACTTTGAGGATCAAGCATATTGCCAAAACATCTGTGGTTTGTAGGGTTTATTCTCCAGACTGTCTGTGGCACTATCACAGTATTTCAGAACTTGGGTATCTGCATTGCTTGGGGCATTACAGCCCAGTGCCCCACAGGAGAAGCAGGTAGTGGGAGCAGTACAGGATATATTTTTCATCTTCTATCACTTCCTCAGAAACTCCATCATTTTCATCTGAAGTCTATGATCTACCCTAAATCACTCCCTCAGCCTCTCTTGACCAGCAGAGCTGTCTGTATTCTTGCAATTCTTCTTGTAAGGTGGATGGTTGCCTCTACCAAAGGCAAATCCAGGCTGGGGTTCTCCTGGAGTCAGCACAGGAGTGGGAAATTTTTGCTGTTAAAATATATAAATGTGAAGCCACTGTCCCCTGGCATTAAGAAAACCCTAGAGGAACATACATTAGTATGTAGCTGGGGTTGTGAAATGGAAGCTTACTGCTTGGAAGGTTCTCTACACAACTTTTACAGGGAAGTTGCTGTTTTCTTACCTTTACTGCAAGGAGCACAGTCCTGTAAGTTAATAAAGTGCCAAATATAATCTCTTGGGAGATTCAGGATTTTTTTGGGAACAAAAAACATACCGTTTGGAACTAACTAGTACAATGAAATACTGACATGTAAACATATCTTCCAATTAGGCTTTGCCCACTGGAAAATTTACCTTTTGCCTAACTGCAAAGCCTATAAAGCATGTCATGTTGCTATTTCCTTCACATGCCACAAAGCTCCTATTGCACTGAGGACTGGCTAATAATTTTTGCAGTGGGAAAAGCAACTTGAAGGGTCCTTAGCTCCCCATAGCAAAATAAAATAAAATAAAATAAATAAAATATAAAATAAAATAATCCCATTTTATATTTGTCCACATGCTCATTTCCCACTGCAGGTTGCAACCACATAAAATTACTTTCCTTTACTTCTGCAGCCAGGGTTAGGTAGCCCAGCTTGGAGTGGAAGAAAAAGGAAATTCTTGCTTGCTTAAGAAAAAAAAAAGTTTTCAACCTATTTCTAAACATTCACAAATGCAAACCACCTGTAAGGCCTTGAGGAAGATCTCTCTGAAGGTTTTCATTGTGCTAAATAGATCTTCCAAAACCAATTTTCTTCGGTCTTCACAAAGATAATCAGCAAGTTCTTCCTTCTTCTTTTCAATGGTGGCAAACTCCTTCTGCAGGTCCTTTGAAGCATCGAGGCTGTCCTGAGATACATTTCGAAACACAATTTATGCAAATTAAGAAGTAGCATGTTCTGAGCTACCCGGAAGACTCGGGCCAGTTAACACAGAGCAGTCAGTTTTTAAAAAACTGACAGACAAGGCTGGTTCACAAAGTGTGATATTTACTTCTGAATTGAACCATCTGCATATCCCCTCATTTCATTTGGCCCAAAGCAGCTCATCCCATGATGAAAGTCGCACTTTATTATACAACCCTGTGGAAATTAGGCACTAGGTGGTATTCCTGGCCAAGTTAAATACAGAACCAGGATTTCTACCTTTTAACTTTAGTTAAGTGACCTGTTTTGCAAATATGAAGAGCTAGGATGTTAAGAAATATGTGGGGGGGGAAAAAAAGCATCTTGCAAATCTGTTCACTTTAATCCCCAAAGAACAGTGAGACAAAACATGTTTCTGTACTGTACCATACGCATTTATAGTTGCAGCCTCATTTTCATTTTTAGGGCCTTCCTTTCTTTTACCCATACAAACAGCTGTCTGGTCCTCAGCTGTTTCCATATCCCAATATCACATTACAGAAATAATGGAAAATCTGGGATGCTCCTTCCATCAGGAAACAGGAGGAGGGTAGTTACAACCTCTTTTTCATAGGGCTCTGAGTCCAGCTGCAACCTGAATCACAGTGCCTTTGAGAAGATGGGGTTTAGGAAGAAATATGGGAAATGTGTCACACTCACATTACCTACTTGAACAGATTGTCCATGCTGTACTTTTAAATCTTCTGTTGACAACAATAAACGTTTCTCTATTTCCAACAGTTTCTTCAAATGGGCACCTGCCTCAGCCCGCATGACATCCATGTGGATTCTGAAAGGTCCACAAAGGTAGAATATAGAATTAATTATCCAGCCCTGCTTTTGCAGGTGGTTCTCCTCTATCAAAATTCTTTTTTATGTGCTCAAATCTTCATCTAAGAAAGAATCTGTGCTTTTGCCCTCACTACTTCCCCAATAGACTGTGGGAGAACCTCACAGAACCTCCCTGTCCTAGTATTCAAAAACCTCCAAAATATTTCCAGCCTCTTTTTACTCACAGGCAACACAAGCTCATCTCCCCTGTGCCAATACTATCCTTATTTAGCTGGTTCTTTTCCCTCCTTGCCTTTTCTCCCTAGTCTATTTATAGTCCAAAAATGTATCTCTTCTCTGAGTTAGTTTAGCTCATGTGGGGATCCGAAGCCAAACACTGCCAAAACAACATCTTCTGTACTTCTGAACTACTCTTTGTGCCAGACAAAATTTACTGAATCAGCAAAACTTGGCTTGGTCTTTCATGGTGCATCCATGTGCGAGCAGCCCTAAAAGAGTCCCTTGCAGGATTTGCATTGTACACAGTTCTTCACAGATTGATTAGCAAATCAATTTTTGTAGGTTTGAGAGTTTGACTGAACTAGAGGGCAATTACTTTGTAAAGAAGAGAACATTTGTATCATTGATGAGCAAGATCTAGTTTTGGGTAAGCAAAGTATTTCCATTATGACACATCCCAAAAAGAAATTCATGGTTCAAAGCAACATCCAACTTAAATTCTGCAAATATAACTCACAAAAGCTGTAGTCTTTTCTGTTCAACTACCAAACTAAAATAATTTTAAAAAATTATTTAGCAGCTACACAATAAATGTCAATACATCTCCAGATTTAGAAGTTACCCCTGCTTCAAGTTACAAATCTAAAACACTTCAAGTTTGCTATTAATCCCATGAATTCATAACGGTAAAAAAGATCTTAATCCTGGCGCTATAAATGTAGATTATGATTAGTGTAATTTAACATATCTCCATGTGATTCCTCTGAGTTAAACAGAAGGAGCTGATGATAGACTCATAAGGCTTTAGGACGCATGGGAAGAAAGTTGAACATCTGAGGAAACAGATCTCTTCTTTCTACCCACATATATTAGAAAGATGCTGATACTCAACTCAGGGGTCCCCCAGTTGCCATAAATCACCCCAATCATTCCCTCCTTACCCCTATTCTGCACCTCCTGATGGACTTGCAACTAAAAATGACTGAGAAATTTCAGGGAAGATACGTCTCTACTGTAATATGTGGAAGAAAAATCCGGTCCTTGAAAATGAGGGATGTTCCCTGTCTGCACAGTTTTACTTCTAAAGTAGCACTGGAACAACCAAAAGAAAAATCACTCTGAGCCCCACATAAAAGTCTTAGCCAGGCTGATTTATAAATCTCAACACTGTTTGGTGTTGGAAGGCAACCATTCTCTCCCATAGCAGAGAAGTCCTGTGACCTTATTACAGCACCATAAAATGACTCAGCTCCTCGTTGGATTTAAAGAGGTTGGCAATTCATACATGACAGAAACAAACAATGATGTCCTACCCTGCTGCCTTGGAAACAAAGTCAAGATCTCTGGGAAGCTGCAGCAGATCTGTGTGGTTTTTTTCAACCTCCTAAAATTGAAGGGGAAAAAATTGTTATCATACACAGCCAGCCTAAGGGTAGGAGAGTTTTTCAGTTGACAACATCAGGACTGACAAAACTAACACCTCGGTTTTGTTCTTATAACCATAGAGATAAATTCAGTCTTGTTCATGCTTTTCCTCATGTTGGCAACCACAGGGAGTTAAAAAGGAAGCAAAAGGCTCTTTTAAGTGCTCCGGTTTACATCCTATGAGCTGCCACAGTGCGCAGGCTGACCTGAGATGTTGCCTTCATACCACCAAAATAAATTTCGTTTGACAGATGCGTTTAGGATATCTGTCAACGCAAGAGAGCAGTTGGAGAAGAAGATAAAGAAAGCAGCAAGCAGACAAGTCAAGTGAACTTGAGAAAGGAAGCCTAGTGCTAACTCTCTAAACATTATTGCAAATGGGTTTGATCCCATCTGCACAGAGAGCTGTGGAAAAGATTTCATTGTATTTCAGGCACAGAGCGTCACCCTCCAGATACTAATGGAGGGGTATTATTGAAGGAAAAGCCCCTTAGGTTCTGGGGCATTAATATTTGAAAATGATGCACACAGGAATAATTTCACAGTTTTGTTGTACCTCCAAAATATGGTGAAGCAGGGTGATGTGGCTTTGGTTTGCTTTTGTTTCTGTTAATCTGAGCAAGGCACTGATTTTAAAACCTCCAGCATCTCCAGTGTGATGCCCCTAGAAGATACAGAAAAAAGATCCTTCCTTCAGTTTCCAAGTCATGCATTGTATTTTCCATTATCTTTAGAATATAACAAGTAAAGAAATCAGTTTACTTACATAGTTCAGAAAGTTTCCAATTTTAAGAATCAGTTGGCAGAAAACTGGCAGTCGGTGACTGGTAAGAAGTGCTAAGAATAAGAAGAGAGACATTTTCAATAAATTAAATTAAATTATCTGAAATAGGATTTTCCTTAGGTTTGACAGTGATGGTAACAGAATTTTCATCCAGGATTATGTCAAGCTATTGTTATGGATTTGGAAAAATACCAGTACAGAAATAAATCAGCTGAATGGAAGTAGAATGAGTAAGTTTCTATTGTGATCTCTTCTTTACAAGTAGATAGAAAACTAGTTTCCACACTAAGTTTGGAGTACAGGTGTGTCAACCCTGCAATCCTTTATGAGGGAGAACCACATATGAGAAAGTGTATAAAACTGTGGAAGTCTATAGTCCCCATTCCCAGCACATATTATTTTAGGTTAAGAAGAGAAAAGGGCTTTTTGCCTTGTTATCATCATTAGTGAGAACAATAACCAGAAGTTGTGTATTTTAGCAGGAGAATCTGGGGGAAGAATAAAGTTTTTGGTAGAACCAGAAAAGAAATGCTGACCCACACAATGGGATGGAGGAGGGATGGGGATGACAGAGGAGGACTGCAGAGAGCTGTAGGTTGCACCCCAGCGAACAGCAACCACAGCACTGACATCAGACAAACAGGTATGGCCAAGTTTTATGTGCAAACATAAAAGTTGTGCAATTTAAATGTCCAAGAGGAGATCAACCATTCTCTAAAACCATTGAACTGAAGCTGGAATCCAAGAGCACCTTCAAGAATGAGGCAACTTAAAACTAAGGCTAATTTTGTGTGAAAAGGTCTCCTGAAACATTGGTGAACATCATCTGGGATGTCCTTTTTGGCCGCCAAACCAAATTCTGGTATGTCATGGTTCTCTGCTCCACTGCAGAGCTGAGCTGGACCTCAACCTGTGCGCACTTCAGGAAAAACTGGAACTGATTTATTGTTATGGACAAAAATCTCCACGGCACACAAAAATTTAACCTGTATTTAAACAGTCCCTGGCACTGACATCTCTGTCTCGAGGAGACTTTATCATGCTCTACAACTACCTGAAAAGAGGTTGTAGCAAAGTAGGGGTCAGCCTTTTCTCCCAGGCAACAAGTGACAGGATGAGAGGACGTAGCCTCCAGCTTCTCCAGGGGAGGTTCAGGTTGGATATCAGGGGGAATTTCTCCACAGAAAGGGTTGTTAAGCTTTGGAATGGACTGCCCAGGGAGGTGGAGTCACCTTTCCTGGAGGTGTTAAAGAAATGACTGAATGTGGCACTTAGTGCTAAGATCTAATTGACAAGGTGGTGATGGGTCAAAGGTTGACGATCTTAGAGGTCTTTTCCAGCCTATATAATTCTGTGATTCTGTGATCCCTGAAAGTGTTCAAGGCCAGGAAGGACCTTTCCAATCCAAACCATCCTATGATTAAGGAAATTTTCTTCTTCTCTGCAGAACCACTGACAACAGAGAGGTTTATATTATTCTTGCCAACAGAAGCTCCACTTCAGAGCAGAACAGCACAAACTACAGTTCTGCAGAATGAATTCCAGGAGGGGGAATCTACAGAATCATTTTTATGTTTGCTACACATTCAGCAATTAAAAGGTTAATTTCGATTAGATTATAGCATATGCTACCACTGCTGCTAATCAAGCAGAAGAAAGTGGCTGAGCCTGGGCTCTGGTGCAGCACTGATGTACTCACTTTCACAGGCTGTCTTGATGGCTTGTGCTTTGGGCCACAGACACTCCATCAGAATTTTTGTTTCCTCACAAATCAGCATGCATTCAATCCGCAATTGGTAACTAGAAGGGATCAGTGGAAAAAAACCACAGCAAACATCACAAAGAACAAAACCCAACAGGTCTGATTAATTGAGTCATGTTCAGCAAGAGTATCACCCATTTTAGGCAAAGCACGGTACCAGCATTCTTACGTTCTCTTTAATGCTCTGACATGAGAACCAGCTTATAAATAAATCAAACACAGATATTTCCAAAGATCTCCTAGAAACAATTATCATCTCCTCTTTCAGAAAGCAATGCTGGAGTGACATCTGGCAGTGACTACCTTGCATAATGAGGCCATAATTTTTTACAATTTCTGGGCAGCACTAGCCAGGATTTTAGTTCCTCCTTTTAACTTCACAAACAGAAATTTGAAATGTTTTGGCAGTGACATTCATGCCTTGCCATGGATTAATATTGTTTAAGAGCCATGAAAACATTTTCTAAAGTACTTTTGAAGCTAACTAGAAGTTTGAGAAAATGAAAAGCCACATTTTCACCACCGCCTTTTCAAAAACGTGTCTCTGGTTGTGGCATGGCAACTGATCAGATTGATGGAAGGATATTGCCATTAATTATGACATGTCACCGTGTTTTTATTAACAGCAAAAGGTTTTCTCTGCGTGCACCTCATTTGACTTGGTAAAAACAAGGGAGGTGGTGGAAGCACAGGCACTGCTGTGATTCACTCAGGGGTTTGTGGGCTCTCTTTGGTAAACTGGAATCTGTTGCCCAGGGGTGGAGTGAATCAGCAGCCTGGTGACAGGATTCAGTCTGCAACTTCACACCACACAGGAGTAGCTGTTCAACAGTCAAGAGGTTTTTCATGGCAAGGTTATTTTAACCGTAGTTTGCCGAAGGTGCCTGAAAGTCTCTTTGGCCTCTGTGAAGGAAAAATTTCTCAAGCCAGCTCCACAAATAGCAGTCAGATGATTTATGCTGAAGGCTAAATATTAGGAACATCTCTCTAGCACAGGAAGCAGAGACCTTAATTCTTGTGGATGAATCTTATAAGAACAACACTCAAGGGTTGAAGATAAGCAAAACTTTGCTTACCCGGGAACTTCCAAAAGATGGAGATAGAACTGATCTGCATTTGCTAATTGTGATTTTTCTTCTTTGCAAGTTTTCAGGCTCCTTATCTAACAGGGAATAAGAGAGTAAAATAACCACACAAATATTTTATCTAACAGGGAATAAAGGAGTAAAATAACCACACATATATTCATGGTGCCTGTTGCTTTTTAGAGCCATGAAACCGGCTTCTCTGAACTTGCAGAGGCAATGGGAGTGAGGCAGATGGACAATAAATTCTACATGTGAACTGGTTTTCAAGGGTAAACATATAGGTTTTGTTTTGACTGCAAGACCTTTTGCATTTGTACAGAATCTCCTAGGATGAATTCCTAATCTGTAGGCTGGGATTCAGCAAGTTATAGTGCATAGACACGCAGAAACCCCTTTAAGGAATGGATCCTGTTCCTTCCTCCTCATTGAAATGTTCTCTGAAAGTTTCTCTATTCACCTAAGTCCACAAATACTAACATGCTTCATCCACCTAATCAAAACTATGGGACAGAGAACAGCCCTTGATCTACACCTGTGTTCAGTCTCCTAATGTGCTCTTGCCCAAACTCTGTGTAAAGAGGCCAAACTGTTGCTGGGGTGGACTTCCCACTGCCCTGCCTTGGAATGTCATGGACCAAGATGGGGCAGGAGGATGTGGGATCTAGTCATAGCTGCTTGCTTTAGCAGTGCAAAATGTTTGAAGCTGACCACACAACACACTGAACTCCATCAGAATGACACATTATTGATACCTCCTGGTCTTCAGGCAGCAGTTTAAGTAGCTGCTTCAGTATCTCAGCATCCAACTTGGATCTATCCCCTTTCTGAATCATGGCAACAATCTCTTCATTGGAGCTGCAGGAAAGAGAGAAGTGCTGTGGAGCAATAGGGTTAATAACCTGAGATCCCAGTCTCTCAGCTAGCACTGCAGGAGTAGGTGAAGTAATTCATGCTTGCCTCCCATTACAGTTTGGTTCTTAGTTGTCAAAAGCACGGTGGAGGTATGAAAATGCAAAGGATTTTTTTTTTAAGCCTGAAGCAATATTCCTTGTAATTTAGGTGTGCATTCCAGGCTTTGTTCATCTTTACACAATGAACCCCCAAAGCTCTCCTTTTACTGTGGGTGTCCAGTGCCACTGAGAAGAGCTTTACATTTGAATTCCCCCACTGCTTGCAGCAAAGACAAGGATAAGACCAATGGCTCCCAGAAGTTTTATCCCAAATCCTTGCTAGCAACATTGGCAAGCAACATGTGTTTGAAATGGTTCCAGACTGCTGTGGTTTGGGCTCTGGAGGTCTGAGCTCCCTGCAGCCACCAGTGCTAACAGAGACAGCACTGGGCTGCAGAGCAGCCTCCTCCCTCATGACTGCAAGCAGGGCCCAGCTCTTTGATCCCACGGTCACCAGCTGCTCCCAGGAGAGCTCAAACACTGCCCAGGGAATCATGAAGAGAGGAAATAGCATCTGGATTAGGCTGTGCACAGTTCTCCCCCACTGAGAAGCAGTTTGTAATGGAAAAAGAATAATAATGATTTAAAAAAAAAATTCCTCTCACTGATTTTGATTTATTCTTAATGCAAAGGAACTCCTAGGCTGAGTTTCTGCTTGAAGCCCTTTCAACAAGGGCCATGACACAAAGGGCAGGGAGAGAGCAGAACATCTATCTTCATCCTGCAGTAGCTTCAGGGAATCTAAGAGTAAAGACATTTTCCCAAGAACTAGTGGAGATTCCTTTCCTTCCCCATCCCCCACCTCCCTGTGAGGACTGTGACTTTGTAAATTTCCATTTGTTTAATTATACAAACTGTTTCCTATTTATAGGAAAATTGCAAATAAAAACTATATATGACTTTGGATCTGAACCACTGGAGATGTCTCTTTAAAAGCAATTAACTAACTAGAAACTTCCATTCAATAATCTTCTCTAACAGTTCCTGCCAGGACTTGATATTTATGTCAATAATACCAAAGAAAAATATGTTTCCACATGATTGGGCTGTTATTTTTCAATATTGTCTCTTTAGGAATTAGTGGGTCTATTTTAGAATTAATTCCAGTTTGAGACATGGTATTAATTGTCTGGAAAGAGACTGCCACATCTCATTATGTTAAAAAAAGGGGAAAAATAAGTTGACTCCTTGATAGAGAAAGATAGTAGTTGTAAAGTATATCTGCCAAATCAATTTCATTTAAGGTCTGAATAAACACATAGACATATTCAAATCAGTAATTCAGGTGTTATTCTCCAAATCTTACCACTTAAATTGCTTCAGAAGTATACTCAGAAGGAGGCTTTTTCTTGGACCTATGAACGTGACCTGTGAAAAGAAAAAAAAAAAATCAGTCAGCTAGAAATACATTTATCTGGACTTTAACAGATTTTTTTTTAGAGCTTTTGTTTGTTTATTGAGCGGGATTCATTCTTCTCTGTAATAACATTATCATCAACCTTCACTAATCAAGTCCCAAGCAATTTAGAATACAGGCAATGAGATCTATTTTAGAAAGAGACAAAGGCATGGAGAAGGAAATTGATTTGTTTAGAATATTCTTATTATAAGAATTAATACTGAAATTCCCATGTCCTCCCCCTCTCAGATGAAGACCTGTCTCAGCAGTTACTTTGACATGTTTAATTCTAAACATCTCCTGTGCTTTATTTATTTGTTTATTTTTTTTTTAAGGCAACCTCAGGTAATGGACTTCAAAATGTTTCAAACTTTCTTATTATAAATGATTGGCAACAATAGAGAGAGAATAAGCTTTTCAATTCCAAGAATTTTGCCAGGCTTTACAAAAAATGAGCAGACCAAGTACCTCCTTTGCTTTGTTTGTTTTTGACCCCATTTTCTCCTGAGGTGTGCTTGGTGGGACAGAGAAAAGAAGCTCCAAGCTTGCATAGTCAGGCTCCAGAAGCTCCTTGCTGCTGCTTGGCATCACAGCCCACATGGAGCGGCTTTCTGGAAGAGAATAACACCTCAAGATGGAACACATCCATGGACCACAGAGACTGAGGAGCACTTCCAAGGCACTCTGATTTCTGAAAGGGAAAACACTTTAGAGGATGAATGAAATATGATGCTCATTAGTCCTGGACAAATGTTAATTATTTAAGAATGACAGCTCCCACAGAGAGCATCCCGAAGGTTTGAAGGCTAATTAAACCTGGAAAACTGATTCCACATTAGATTCGCTGAACTGAAGGCAGCAGATGAACTTAATGGGCTGCTCCAAATTGTTTTTGAATCCTGACTGGCTACATGTTGCAGAATTGTGGAACCCAAACAGGGGAGGCTGAGCCCCATTAGGTAAATGTCTCTTTTTGCAAGAGATAAGGACTCCCAAGCCCAACATTAATACCAGAATCATCAGGAGCCATCCAAATAACACACAGAACTTCAAAACATGAACTTGTGCACAATACCGGCACCTTTCAGAAAGGATCTCACCTCCTTCTTCTTTTCGAAAGATTGCAACAGTGACACTGAGTACACTGGGGATGAATCTCAACTTGTATCTCTGCCCAAGAAAACAGACTCTGGCTCGAACAGGATTTTTTGTATCTATGTTTATGTATTTTATCACAGAAGCAAGTTCTTACCCTTGATGTCCCCCTGTCTTGGTGATAAGCAAGGGAGAATAACTGAGATCTGTGTTGCGTGAACTGAGTATTAAAAGCCACAGCAAAAATGGAAATAGGTTCCCGGTCTCACTGCTGGAAGTTGAACAGGACTTGCAAGCCCCTTTGGCAGAACACAAGGTAAGCACAGTCCTTAGTGTTATTGTGTGGGAAATCCTCCACAAACCACATGGCTGTGGTCAGTATGAAACGAAGTTGGGAGCTACGCTGAGGGTACATGTTCTCCAGGCCCTACTGACAAGAATTTTCAGCCCCAGATCTTGGCTAATGCATCTTCTGGCTGTGCAAGTTAAAAAAATAAATAAGGAAAGCAAAAGCCTCAGCTGAGAGTTTACTCACTGGTGATATGCCAGGAGTTCATTAGGAAGAACCCTGGAGCACAACTGTTCAAAGAATCTTTCCACTCGACACACTCAGAGCATTTTACAAACCTTAATCAGTGCAGACTCACAACTGCCTTTTAATAAGCAGCAAACCGAGATTGAGAGGTTAAGAGAATATAATTTTAGCAGCCACAGAGCCTCAGTTCAGAGCTTTTTCTAAAACTATTTCCTCCATTTGTTGGCAAAGGCCCAGCTTTCTGACTGGTAACTTTCTGCAGGACTGAG